TTGTGACTTAGTGTTATATTCAACAATGACATACAAACCTTCTGATGGATTGAGTTCCCACATAACTACTGATTCTTTGTCATTTCTATTCCATTCAAAATGTGGGTACAAAAGGACTATACCTTCATCAAAAGACTTTACATAAGACTACCTTACATGTTTGCATCATTGTAATCAACAAAATACACCTAACCACCTACTAACTGAATGAAAAAAAAGAGGATTAACAGAGCTAAGTGGTTATGTGTGGCAGTCCATGTGTTTCTTCATTGGTGTGATGAGTCCCCTAGTCTGCATCTACCTCCAAATCTTCTGTTGCTTGTTCAGTGCCTTGATTTGCTGGCCTAAACATAGTGTCGAGGTACTCCACAACCTCCATCACTACTTCCTTCTGCACTTCTACTTGATTTGGTAGAATGCCAAGATTTTCAAGTTTTTTTTTCATGTGGGGTATTTTGTACTTGTTCCTACCTTCTGCCTTGAGGATCTTTATCATGCATTTTTGCAAAGTCACCAAATGTACTTGTTTACTCGAGGATTGAATGTGTCATAAGAGTCTATCACTTTTTCAACTAGCTCATCTAGATTGCTAGGAAAAGACTGATATTGCAAAGATTGAATAAACCTAAATAACCCTAAATCAAGCACATTCAAATCAGGTGACTGTGCTTGCTGAAAGACAAATTGAATGTTGAACCCATTTGTTGTTGTTGCTGCCATGAACTCTGCATCCTTAGGAACTTGGTGAGGCCTAGTATTGTCCCATTGGATGACAACATTTTTATCTAGACTGTTAGGCCACTTTGAGATAATTGATGGTATGACCTTTGTCAACAACGTATTTCTAATCACTTCTCTGTTTACATTTTGGAGTGCCTTTGTTTCCAAAGTTCCTGCTGCTCTGTTTTTGCTGGATTTCTTTGCTAGTTGTTGGACAGTGAATGGGAATATGCCATACTTCCCATCATGGAGTAGTTCCCCATTTGTGTCATACAATGGCTTCCCAATTAAGGCCATAAACATTGCCTTGAGCTTGAATCTTCTGGACTATATTGCCCTGTATGGATCTTCCTCACTTGTTAGGAGATAAAACCTCCTCTTATCAGGGTTCAGATAGAACCATTTCTCATCTATGTGTATGTCAACAAATGTGGGGTCCTCATTACTTGTCAAGGCTGTCATTGGATTAATATGTGATAAAACCCATTTGAGTCTGGCCACCTTGTGGTCTGATGACAGTGCTGGCTTGTTGCTGCTTGTGTGTGTTCTTAGCCTTCCCTTTTTCTTCAAATTGTGAAGAGTAACATGAGAGATCTTCAATGCTGCTGCATAACTCCTTTGTGTCTGCCTTAAATGCAAAGGGACTGACTGTAGAAATTCATCAGAAAATTGCATTGGCTTTGGACCTATTCTGCCATACTTCTTAGTCCTGACATCAATCAAATTCCCTTGTGCCGTCTGTTTTTTATGTCTGTGAATATTCTTGTGATGGTGGATTTGTGAACATTGTACTGAGTTGATAAATGTATCCTGTGACCCCTTGGTAAGTTCCCCTCATGCATTTTGACCAACATTGCATCAACAATTTCTCTTTTCTTTTGCATGGTGAGTTGCTTTCTTTGTGGAAGTTGAGTCCCTTGTTGATTGGTTGTTGCAATTCTGGGGAATCAACCTCAGCTCGTGTGTTTTGCTGGCCATGTTCTTCTTCTTGGTTGTCTTGCATGTTCTCATCTTCAGATACACAGTCCTCCATGCCTAGATCTTGCATATTTTCTTCATGTTCATAGTACAATTCTGCCAGCTCTTCTTCTGTCACTATTTGATGAACATCGAAAAACATAGCATCAACAAATTCTGCCATGTGTTGTCTGAATTGTTCTTCTGCAGCACAGCTTGACGTAGGGGGGCTGCTGATTTTTTTTTTGGAGGAGATGAAGGATGCTAGGAGATGCAGCTTCTGAAGATGCAGCTTAGGATGTGCAACACTAATTTCAGCTTAGGGGATTTTTTTGTTGGGTTTTAATGGGCTAACTATGTGTATTTAGTGCTAATTTTTGGGATTAACGAATTCATATTTTGAGGAAACTTTATGTTTGTAAACATTTAATGTGTTTGAATGAGGGAGGCTGGTATTTATATGCCTCTTAATGAATGAAGGCTTTAAATGCCTTACAAAAATGTGGATATGTACTGTTTTTTTTTTTTTTTAAACATGGAGGGAACCAAAATTTTCACCAAAAGTTCAACAAAATTGAATTTTTGGTGAAATTTTGGGGGGAAATCTCCTCCCTCAAAATACTGCCAGAATTTCCCCACCAAAATTACAAGTGGGTGGCCCTACTTTCTCTCTCATATCCCTTTAATTAACTTCATTTACTTTCTCTAATATTTGCCCCTTAACTTTTACTTCGTAAACCGCAACTTGTGCCAAAGTTGCACATAATCATTAACGGAGGTAGTATTAGATTTCATTGCAAAATTACATACAAATATTATCGTTCTCATAATTTATGACCGCGCTTATCAAACGTGACGTTAAGGAACTCAAAACAAATACGGCTAGTTGAAGACCTTGAAGTGAGTCGGTCAGAGTATCACATTTCCTATTTGGTGTTCTAGCTAACAAGATTACTGTGTAAAAGTACACACTTATAAGTTAGAAGATCTAGATTAACTTGTAACGCGTATAAATGTTTGGTCGTATATGGCAACATAGAACTAATTAAACAGTTAGGTGAACGAGATAAAATATAATGCAATTATTAAGTTTGAATTTAATCCTATTATTGACTGTTCGATAATCAAGTTTTACGCGTAATATAATTTGATTTATGTTAAAACTTAGTCATTTCTCACTTCGCAATCATAGGCTGTCAAAGTTTTTACTTCCCCTTTTTAGTCCTTCAACAAGACTTGCTTCTTTCTTTTTCTTTTATCCTTTTTTATTTATTATGTTTGCTTTCTCAATCAACTTTGTTTCTATTTTTCTCTAATTCTTAAGTTTATGCAAGACCTAGACAAAACTCTCCATGTCATACGGTGATTATGGTTTAACCTCATTGTAATATCGTAGACTAAATAATTAGAACTAAAATAAATCAAACAATAGTACTCATTACTATGTAACACGAGACAATTGAGTGTTTTTATCAATTTCACTTATTAAGACCCATTGCGGATTCTATCTTTTGCTCATTTATAGTGAATTTTTAACACTAATTATACACTCCTTTTCAATTATATGTTATGATATATAAATAAGAAAAATATAGAACTATATAACACGAGACAATTGAGTGTTTTATCAATTTTACTTATTAAGACCCATTGCGGATTCTATCTTTTGCTCATTTATAGTGGATTTTTAACACTAATTATACACTCCTTTTCAATTATATGTTATGATATATAAATAAGAAAAATATAGACATGATGAGTCTTATTAGATTTGTCCCAACGCATACTTTTATAATATCACTTAAATCAAAGATGTGATTTTAAGCTTGTCAAAAAAAAAAAAAAATGTTAAGATGCGTAAATCTTTAGGGGGGGATCTAATTTGGATGAATCGAATAATAAGAAAATAAAAGAAATCCATAAAATTTGTGGAGCACTAGGCAGCAAGATAGTGATGGAAGTGGGACAACGACCAGCTGTCGAAGGCAAAGAAGAGTTAGGAGAATGTTAAGGAAACAAAAACATGTGACTTGTTAAGTCCCACTTTTCATAATACTAAAAGGCTTTGTTATTTACGTGGATAACTCAATTACATGTGAGTAATTACTACGAGTAATTACAAGTGAATTTTCACAAATGATTACAGTAGAAGCAACTGTATTACAGATCGAATGAAGCAGTTACATAATATACGGACATCCTCATATCTTTATAGTACAACACAATAAGACCCATTTATTTAGGTTACTGAGATCCAGGATTTTTAATCATCAGACAACTTTGGTCAACATCAGAGTTTGGCACAGAGTTCATGTACCTATGGAGAATTTCTGATTGGTCCATATCAACTACCTCCCATTTATTTTTTTAATTTATTTTTAATTTTTTTTATGATATAAATTTACCAAGTATCAATGCATTAATGTTCATAATTTTATGGTCAAATTTTTTTATTTTAATGAATAACTAGTACTGTATATAGCTCTAAATTGTTTGAATAATCATAAATTCTACATGTATACATATTACTGGTGTATCATAATTGAAAAGTGTTACTTTTTAATTGGCTTTTGGTTTATTATGTTAACAAACAATTTGGTTTATTGTTAATAAGCACACAACTATAAATAAACAATAATTAGAATGCTATAGATTAGTTAGTTAGAGTTTTAAGGTGTGTTACCTAAAAAATGGGATCAAAATAAATCTCGCTCTTGCATCTCTCTTTACACCAAAAATCAATACAAACAATTAATCATTACAAACATCCAACTCAAATGACAACTACAAACAAGTTAATGAACCAACCAACAATCAACAACTAATAGCCAAACAAAACATGTCTAAAAACTTCAATACACCATTAAATTTAAAGGTAAATATGCAAGTTACTAAATCAGTAGTAATTTGATTCACAATTGAACTTTTTCCCATGAAAAGAAAATAAAATTGTGGTTCTCCTCAAAAGCCAAAGTTATCCAGTCTCAACCTCTCATCAGTCACCAACAACATTTCCTTTCTTTTTTACCCCGCAATTATATTATTCTATACAAGAAATAGCTTATTCCAAACCATATAGTATAACAGAAATATAATTTTAGAATTAAAAAAAAGAAGTTGAAAATTGCTGTTGACCTCACTTATATGGTTATAAACTTATATTCTCCATCTTAGAAGGGATCTCAAAATCTTGGTGTAATAACAGGTTACCTGTCACCGACCCAAAAGATGCCTTATGTTCACATATTCATTTGGACCACGATTGTGACATTCCCTGTCTTTCCCACAAAAGAACCTTCCAGACTTAGTCATGCAAACCCAGAGATACAAAACAACAATGTCTCATTTTATTTCCCAATTTAAGTACACCGTAAGACCGTAACCATATGTTTACAGCAGGTAGATAGTTTTTCGGGTTTTCTTATTATAGTCAGTAGCGTAAAAGAAGTTAACACTACATGATTATACAAAATTTTAGATAACGGAGTGACACGACAAGTGTAAGAGATTACGTAGGTTCTAATTTATTTAAGCTTGGCTTGTCCACTGGCTTGCTACAGCTGACTGGCTCATCTGATCTCAAGCAACCAGACTGTTGTCTGTTTTGCGTGCAGCTGACAAGCTTGGAGTGAAGATAGAGAATATAAATTCCAGTCAAATAAGACCAGATTTTCTCCATTATTGATGAGAATTATGCAAGTTGTAGGTTTGCAGATCTTAAGGGCTTCCATTACTTTGCTTCAAGTAAAATTGATGAATAGGGAGCTACATTGTATGTGCTTTGAATGCCTGGGACACCCTCAGCTACAAAATCGTCTGGAGATTTGAGATTTGTATCCACCTGAAACAAATCATATATGAGTACATCAATCCCGGCCTTGATTACAGAAATTTGTGGCCCTTTTGGTATTCATCAATATAGGCAGCAACAGAAACAGATATACGAGTAAGTTTATACAGAAATTGGCATCATGCCCATGATAATGCTATGCTTCTCCACCTTTAGGCCCTGAGTATGTGATATACTTCATAGATTTATACTTCATATAACCTCTTGTAACGAGTAGTGGAGTTTTACAACGAGAAACACTTATTTGGGTCCTTGGGGAGCATAATTGTATTACCATGGAGTCATGGACATTGGTATAGGACTTTCCTTGCCAAAACTCATACAGTTGACTGCTTTTGCCACCACTTATTATTTCCCACCAAAAAGACAGTTGAAGTCCAAAAAATGCCACAAAAAAATAAAAATAAAAAATAATAATAAAAAATAAAAATAAAAAATAAAAAATAAAAAAAAGTAAAGAAAAAATCATGCTGAAACTTGAGCAGTGAAGTGAACTTTTAGATTGAACGAGTTAGCAGACAAAACTGGAAATGTTATGTGTATCAGTACAATAAAAAAAATTCCAGATCAGCATGATTAGAACCTATCATTAAATTTAGTGTTGCAACAATCCCCAACAAGGAAAGAAAATCAAAGAGATTCCTCACCACTCTGAACCAACGTTTATTTTGTGGCGGTGAAGGTATTGGAACTTGAACAAAGAAGTCATGAGCATTGAATGCCAAGTAAACGTCTTCTCGCTTTTCACTATGTAATCTGCAGAAATTACACAGATTTAGGGACAGCCAGCAACATAAAATAAAATAAAATAAAATAAAATAAAATAAAAAAAATAAAATCTAAAGTATACCTTAAAATTATGAATACTTCATTTGCATTCACTATAAACTTCGAATACATACAAGTGTGAAATGCATGTACAGAAAGGCAGGAAAAGGCCAGGGATCACAGCAGGACAAGATGAAGATTATGTAGTGCAAGACTGGGTGAATTACAGTATCAAGATACAAAAATAGTTAAAAATTATGAATTTTAACATAACAGCAAGAACAGATATTCATATTTGCAAATCCAAGATCACAGTTCAAATTCAGATTTTGAAAGACATCGTGGTGATGCACAGAGCGACATGTGCACATCATTATACCTAAAATGCATGCCCTTCTCATACAGATGAACAAAAAATGAACATTCACATATGGCTTGGCCTAGCTTTCTAGCTTCTTTAAAGCATTCGATTCAAAAAAGATAGATGAGTTCAATCACATTGTCTTAAAAACTACCTACTGCAGAATCATCCAAAACACTATGTAATTACTGTATAACTTGGAAATTAGATATTCAGATATGTCATTCCCAGATTAAACATCAATGGTAGACAGGATATGCATACAAACTTTACATGTTCCCTAAGCCTTCCGGGCAACATAAGTCTATTAATAATAAAAAATGTATATTAAAGTACATGAGCCAAATAGATGAACATCATGTAATATGTGGCAGCATCTGGTCGTTAGACGTCCAGAAAACAATATGCAGGAAAGAGGCAGCATGCTGCTGAGTTATTAATATGGTTCGACTTCAAAAAAAGGTTGGCATAATTTCTTACGTGAAAGCCAGGAATTTACTCTCGCTATTGCTCCAATTGTCCTCATGCCATGTCACATCCTTCTGTAAATTATTAATAAAGAACTTGTAAGTCAGGAAAAATGACTGATATCCACCAAAATTAGAGTTATTTATAAAAATAATAATGCAGCTAAAGAAGACCTAGGGTGTCCTCGAATTATCTAAAAGCATCTAAGCTTGAGTAGCTTTTATGGGAAATTAAACTTAGTAAAATAAGTTCTTGTCAGGTGAAGAAATGGCAGCTATAGTTTCCATGATTAAAATGACAAGAAACTCGGGTAAAGAATTCCTGCAAGACTTTTCTTACAAGATCTTTCGTTTAGTTCTTAAGATCCCATACATTCCCTTGGAGAAAGACAGGTTTGGTTTAGATGAACTTATGGGTTATGGACAAGAGGACAACATAATGACGATTTAAGGTCTTATAAATCTACCAATCTAACCAAGCTCTTCTTGCAAAACTGCACTCAAAGAGAAGAGGGGGAAACCTGGAAGCCATATGTACAAGCATTTCCATGAGCAAGAACAGAGAAAACATCAATTACATTATAATTGCGGACAACAAAGGCTATTTTGGTGCAAGAAATCATGCCTAGTTGCAAAAAATTGTACAGTAGATACTATATTGAAAAGGCTGAAGTTGTTTACCTTCTCAAGAAAATTCTCACGTCTGAATATGTCATGTGTTTTACGAAACTTCACAGCTTCAGAGAAAAACCTGAAGTAGTCTTCTTTCTTTGCATCCAACTTTTTATTGTAGACAAGGGTATCATGTCAGTAAACACAGTAAATACAAATTAACTAGAATAAGTGATGGCTTCACACCTTTGTCCACTGGAAGTTGTTAAGCGCATTATCATGGCCATAACTGTTGTTATTTCCAAAACGAGTATGCCCATATTCATCACCCATTAGCATCATGGGAGTACCCTGGATGTATGCAAATAAAGAGAATCAGGACACACATACGTCAGAAAATAGATGATTACATGGCTTCTTGCATAATTTTGGGTGAAACTATCAAAAAAGCCTGAAATTAAAAGAAGTGGGATAACAAATAGACACAGGGGCAAAATAAATTGCACCTTTTTAGGTGTAGAGCCATGTTTCCCATGTCTCCTGAAGGAAGATATGAAAAAGAAGATAGGAAGGAAAAAAAAAAGGAAGGGGAGAGGGAGCAGTTGGATTCTTCATATCAATTTGGAGCTTTAAGAGGAGTAGCAGCCCTGGCGGGCAGAAGGGGGGAGGGGGACAAAAACAATCAAGGGAATTGAGAGATACTTACCAGTTACCATCATAAATGGAAAGCATAAATTTCATATAATGACCGGCAAGACAAATAACTGCTAATTAACTCATAACTTTACTTTTTTAGTACACAGTAAATATCAAAGAATACCATAAACTTAGTTTCACTTCCATACTTCTAATCTTGATATGTTATTCCATAAGAACCAAATTCCTTATAGCAACTTTTCATCACAAACATGTTCTAAATATGCAAGTGCACTGACCAATGTTATCCCATGAAGAGCTTTACCCAAACTCTAAATTATTTAGTATTATCAGTAATCAAGTTACACCCATTTTAATCAGGCAATTGGACTTCAACTACCAGATACAATTCAACTTGGAAAAAAAACAGAATCAGTCATTAACTAGTCATCCAGCAAGTATGCATCTCAACAGCCACAAGATGAGATTTATGTTAAAAATTAGAAAAGCTAATAATTTGATTAAACCTTTTCCAGTTTTTTTCCCCAACTAAATGACTGAAGTAAAACTGGTGTATTGAACCACCATTTTATTACAATAAAAATGTTTACAGAAGACGAGCATTTTAGCACAAACCAAATTTGAACCATACATATTCTTTCCAAGACATACTTAAAAAACATTGAACGAAAAATGGCTTGCAAGTGATTCCAGAAAAACCAAGAAATTACTCCGAACAAAGAGGAGTTGACAGTCAGGAACCCAATAACAGACACTGCTGTCATTCTTGCAGTTGAGCAATTTCAGAAAGAAATATGGCGTAGCAACAACAAAAGCAAAAAAAAAAAAAAAAAAAAAAAGTACTAATGCAGAGACGGTAAACTCAATCAAGCTGAAACAAAGACCAATATACCTGAGATATCATCAAGGCCAAATGAAAGTTTTTCATCTGCCGTGAACGTAGAGCAATTATATCAGCATCCGTTGTTTCTCCTACGCCAGAAAAATAAAGCAAATTATAGCCTTTTTCCACCATTTTCATCCTACTAAGACAATCTTAGAGCATTCTTCTTCATTAATGCTTTCAGATAATATAGCTGATTTCCTAGAATCGCTGTCAACTAATATCCTTCAAAGATGAATTTTCTACATCTATTGTTTCATATGATTAGTACAACCAATTCCTTCTTCATATTCTTGTTTTTCAAGGAGGAGAAAATGTAAGAGGAATAAAATCATTGGCTATCAATGTCATACTTTACGCTCATGCTTGTCCATGCAAACATTCACGAGAATCATTTATAACATCCTTGACTTCCCTTTACGCAGGATCAAAAAGGAATCGGAAGGGCTAAAAGCTAGAGAACACAAGACTTCCACATTCCACCCCCTTAAGGATTGAAACTAAAGATAAGAGATCTTGACCTAAACTTGTCATAAATATTTAAACCCACTAAGACAAGACCAGAGTTTTAATCCTCGCTCATTTTCTAGGAAGAATATTTCCATGATCATGCAAAGTCAATTGTGGGCCTCTACTATGATGTAAAGTTAGTATTTAACAATGAAATAGATATTTACAAAAGTTAAATAACATTCATGTTACATCTGAGATCCAGCTCAAAACTTTTCTGACAGCATCTATCCTCAATTCTAGGGCACGAAGGATCAATTTTGGACTGGGATGCTTCACAACCTCATATAACTGACACTTTCTCTAGCATAAAAATACCTCTCTTGGGTATGAAATGTCAATCAAACAAGGGAAATCCTTTCCGATAACAAATATTGTGGTCTAATGGGTATATCACCCTTAAGTTTAGGCTTTCTAAATCCCACTATACATAACAATGGTGGATCCTGAAGACCTTAATACTAAGTATACTGTCATGCACCCTTGCCGAGATTTATAGACCTTAGCAATGGAGCACTTCACAACAGTGAACGAGTTGCTTTCCAGAGTCCAGACCATGAAACAGTGTTAGGTCCAGATCAGTGATAATGAGTTTGAAAGCCCCTTATCTATGCCATGGAGCCACTTAGTTGACATATCACAACTAAGAGATATAGCCTTCAACTTTCATATCTAGGCCAGCTTCCTGAATAAGGATGTGTAACCAACCGTGTTTTAGAGCATTAGATGGTGCACCAGGAAAATAACCAGCACCCAAAAGTTGGAATTAGATCAAATGTTTAAAACAACCAAGAAAATTCCTCAAGCTTATGCTGGTACAGTGTGGTCCACTCCTTATCCTTAAAAAGTAATTATGAGATTTTTCACTAGTATCCATATGGTAGGAGATTTTTGGGGTTTAAATAAATCCGCCACATTCATTCTAAACTTGTTGCAATTATTCAACCCAATTCTGACCATCCAAGCCCCATGATGCCCTGACATTGGATTGTTAAGATTTTGTTTTGGGTCCAAACAGCTGGAGTTACATTCCTAAATTTTTGCCTTTATTTCTCACTGGTACCATTAGAAACAGTGGGAGTCAAGTCCTGCCTCTTGAAAGTTAACCTTTCTATGGCATTAACCCAGATCACACACATGGCTAGCATTTTAGTTTTTGGGCGAGGTGAACTTCTGCCACACCAAAACCAGCTCAAGTTCTGTTAGTACATAAACTCAAAGAGCAGGACAACTTAGCGTAAAAAAAATTTGTTGTTTTTTTTAAATAGCGCAAACATAACAAAATACAGCATAAATATTGAATTAATCCATTTCCATACGTAACAGCCAGCAGCGTGAGAGACCAAATCTACACATATGACCTTGTTAGAAAGGACTAAATTATTCAGGCTACAAATCACTTCTTATACTGGGTAGTTGGCTCTTACAACAGAAAAAGAAAGACCTTGTTGCAAGACAGATGGAACCATAGAGATATGAAAATAACTGAACATAGACAAAATGAAATCCCACCTTCAAAACCACAGTTCCAACTATAGTTATCGTTGCATCCATCATTGCCTTCTTCTCCATTAGACTCATTGTGCTACAATACAATTTAATCATATGTCAAAGCGTGTGAAACCATTACCCAACAAATGTTCGTGATAAGTAATCAGAAATTACCTTAAAATTGTATGAGACGAGATCATACAAAGTAAATCCATCATGAGCAATAATAAAGTTGATGCTGTGGTATGGCTTCCGCTTGTTAACCTAAATAAGAAGGCAGCAATTAACATCATAAGATATTTCATACCAAATGGTTGACAACTAGTTTTTGGCTCTGGACAATGCTCCAGGTAGGTACATAAACAACAGTTGTGACCTTATGTGTGAAAATGATGAATGATATTTTTAGTAGTTTTCTTTCATATATTGCCCTTATTATATTTTATTTTTTATAGGAGAATATGTAAGACTACATAGCGCATTAGTTAAGTCCTAATATTCAAAAAAGAGATCACATGTTTGAGCCTTGAAGTGATCGTATGTTTGTAAATCTTTAAATATATGTGGATGACATAAAATTATACTCATAGATAAGGGAAGGCACTATATGGCAGTAAGGACTGACTTGGGAACACATTCTAATACTTCCTCCGTTATTTTTTTATTGCACCATGAGGGATTTCACGCTTGCCAATGCATTACTTTAGCTATTAATATCTTCAATTATACTTTTGTAAAAATTATAAAAAATTGATACTTGAAAAGTAGGTTTCGAGACAAATCTAACTAGATCCCACATGACTATGTTTTTCCTAATGGATGAATCACAAATGATGGTCAAAGAAGATCAAGTGAATAGTGTAAAAGTCCTCATGGTGCAATAAAAGAAAAACGTAGGGAGTAATATAATTATAAATTTATTCTCAGACATATAAATCGGATGAACTTAGCTGCAAAGGTATACACAATACAGGTTTAAAATGAATTTAAGGACAAAACTTAATGATATGGATACAGTGATTCATGTATTGATTGTTCAATGCTTCACATATTGATGAAAATTTATATGCTTTAAAGTTAAAAAACCACTACTTTAGTTATGAGCAGGATGTGCTAAATAACTCTTACTCTGTATAGGTCTGCAGATCCTGATACACGAGTTGCAAAACTTCCTTTCATGCCACAGTCACCCTGCATTATACATTCAAACAGTGAACAGATGCAATACTATTAAAAAAACATATAAGAGTAGTTTTTAGCAGCATCCCTTGGAAAGAACATGAACTTTTATAAGACACTCTTGTTATAGGAAAGCTCTACCTTCATAAATCTTCTCATATCATCACGATACTTGCCATTCCATTCTGCCCACCTATATATGAGAAATTCCCAGATTATCAATTAGGAGCAAGCAGTGAACATTAAATTTATAAAACAATTTTATACCTAACATTCACATAAAATTTGATGCCTGCAGTCACATGGATCTAGTATAATATGTTAGGACATGCTGAAAAAAACCTTTCCCCTCACCCCCCCAAAAAAAAAAAAAAGAAAAGGGAAAAGATTACCTGTCCCAATTAGGAAACTGTCCAACTAGATAAAGACCTCCACAGTCCCATGGCTCTGCAATTATCTTACACTTCGAAAGGACAGTGTCTTTTGCAATGGCCTGACACAAAGAATGGAGTATCATAAATTGAAAAAGGCACATAAGATGAGCAAACTCATATCTAATAGGCTATGCCTTAAATATAAAACCAAAAGAGCTAAAAAAAGCATAAGATTTTCACCAATACAATAATCAAGTCAAGTTTAATCCAAATTACATAAAGCATAAATTAAAGACGCCTTAAATATCTGCAAGCTCTTAACGACTACCCAGTATCCCCATTCAGCATGAACCATAAGCAGTGACAAAAACTGGCTATTGCAAGTTTTAGGCAGGCAAATCGAAGCGTATTGGTCTAACACTAGCCATAGACTGAAGATATACCATTAGTTCAGGACTGCACCATGTGTCAATTACAAAAGGAAATTGGCAGAAGTACAGTACAAAACTCTCTGTTATGTAACAGCAAAGCAGCAAATCAGTTATAACATTCCCTATGACATTTAAACGTTTTAACAGAGAGACAGCATTAAATTATCTTTCTTTAATCTTGCCCCTCATGGAATTTCAAAACATCAGATTAATGGATCAGATAGACAAAATATTAGTATGCAACAAGGTGCTATAAAAGCTAATTCGCCATAAGATTTATACATAATTCACTCCCTGAGATTCAAAATATGTCATATGTTCTCTTCATTTGACTTTTGCGGAACTGAAATAATTTTTGCTAAACTTGAATTAATTTTACTGAAATTAAATAATCTTTGATGAAATGAAATTATTGCTAACTTAGAATATTATTACTAATTAAAACTTTTTTATTTACTGATACTGATTTGCTATAATAATATTTCTTTAGTTATTGATTTTCACTAATTAAAACTTATTATTTACTAGCTTGAATTTAGATTTGTTGAACTTAACTAATTTTTATTGAACTAAACTTTTTTTTTTTTTTTTTTGAAATTAACTTATATTTACTGAAGTTTTAATTATTTTCATTGAATATTATTCGATTAAGGTGATGAGAACAAAGTCTTAGCCATTGCACACATCAAGATTTTGGTTATTGCGTTAGCCATAAAAATGTGGTAGTAATACTTGTATTGATATTACAATATAACCTATATCATTATATTGATAATAGAAGTTGTATTGTTATTGTAAAATACTACCTCCGTTTTTCTAAGTTCTACTCAATTACTGTAGCTACAAATATCAAGTAAAAGATTAAAAGAATACCACACATATGACTTCTTTTGCTTTTAAGGGGAGAGAGACACAAAGTAAGAGATTTATTTAATATAATTGAGCCCCGCATAGTGGGGTTGTAGTCGATAAAAAAAATGAATAAAAGGTTGTCATAAAAGGAATAAAGTAAAAATGTAGAATTTAAAAAAAAAAAACGGATAAAAACGGAGGGCGTACTACGTAACTTGTTTTGGATTAAAGGAATTGACAAAAACCTATTTTTGGAATAGGAATGATTAATTCTATAAAGAATTGTGAGTGTGATGGTTGGGTGGGAAGGTGGGGGTTGACGGGTAGAGGGGGGAGGGGGGTTTAGAGATAGGAGGTGCTTTTGTCACCACACCAACATCTGGTTAGCAAGAGAAATCAGATTGTTATAGTTTCCATAGATTCCACGCAATAGTTTAAACCAAGAGGAATTGAATGTCCCATGGAAGGTCAACTAGATGCCTATAACCTTCTAAGAACAAAACCTTTTTAGATTTACTACCATAACTAAGCATACAAAAGAGTTCAAACTTGTGATAATTTAAGCATCAAACAACTTACCTTCACAAGAGGAGGTGCACCAAGAGGCAAACCATCAGTTCCTCGACAAAGCACACTAGCAAGGTCAAACCGGAAGCCATCCACATGGTATTCCTTGACCCTTCAATTGGTTTAGAGAAAAAGGCATAAGAGTTGTTATTAAAGACGTATAATTAAAGGGATCTATATTCACAAACAAGCAAGAGTTCAGTAATCATCTAAAACTAGCCAGAACTCATCTAAGACAAAAATCTAAGATAATAAACATAGGGAAACATATGACACCAGAAAAATCATCATCTCATCTAAGGAAAAAGAGAGGAAATAAATAAAAATAAAAATAAAAACCAACCAATGGAGAAGATAGTAGATACACATCAATATAACTCCAATGCCTCTAAAGTTCTATATAGGGGAAGGTAGGAGGGGTGGACCATAGATGTACATTGCCTTACCACTGTAACACAAAGAGATTACTTTTAACATTGCAATTGACCCTTAATTAACGCAATGTTCATTGCTAATTTATGAAAAATACAAAGCAAAGACAAATAACAAGCCATTTAATTAAGCCCAGTACAGTCCAACAGCTAGACATTAGTGAATCTTTGAGTCTTTAACAGTTTCACTCCATTTGAAATGTGATGAAATTTTATATATAAACTGTAACTATATCCAACTAACTTGCTTCCAAGAAAATATCAATCCACATTGCATTCAAGAACTCTGTATTAACCAACAAATGCCAAAAAAGTTTCGTCTCAATATTGATTGAGAAACATAGCTAGAATCTTAACAATTGAGCTTTTTCTAGAATGGGCACTCATTTAAAATAATAAACAATACAAAAAAGATTTATAGATAATACTTCCTCCCAATCATGATGTTATTCTTGGGTGCTTATTTAAAAAACTAGAAATAATGAATAAAGGCAAACAAAGATATACTACAATTGTTCCATAGTAATTATAACTTTAGGAAGTTTCAATTGCCAAAAAAAAAAAAAAAAAAAAAAAAAAAAGAAAAGAAAGAAAAAAACTTCCTTACTTTAGGAAGTTTCACATCAATTTTAAGTTTAAAACATTAGTTTATTAAGCTAATGTGTCCCTCCATTTCTCTCCTCGTACCATAGGTCCCCTTCTCTCTCTCTCTCTCTCTCTCCCCCTCCCCTTGTCTCTTCATCACATAGGCTCCGTTAATATGGAGCAAAAGAAGTTTTTAGTGGAGTTATATTACAAAAGCATTCCTAGAGAGAGAAAGTTCAAAAGCCAATTTGTTATATTAGCAGTCAATTGAAACTTCCCAAAGAGGAAAGGAGGACCAGTATTATGAAATGGAGCATATCAATACTAAGCCATCTGTCCATATATAAAAGTCCTGTTACACTGACAAATTCTCTCAACTTTTACCAGTCCCATAACAAGCTTTGTGTTTATTCTACCCAACCAAATATATTTTGGTGTTTCTTTACCATTTGTGGGCAGAGGGAGTAAAAGCTAGCTCGAATCATTCACCTTTGCACTCAAGAGATGCGCATGTTTATTTATAGTCTAATTAATCCAATTTAAACTAAAGGCATCTACTCCTCCCACAGTATCATAAATAGGCCACATCTCAAACCTCATAGATCCAGGCAGGTGTATTTCCATACATGAGAATGGCTGACTACATGCGAATGAAGTATCATACAAAAAAATAAAAAGATTAGAAGCCCATAAGTCACATATATAAAAATGAATCGACTAAACACGTATGACATACCAGTGCCTCAAGCTGTCAAGAATGAGTTCCATGACCACAGGATGATTACAGTTTATCGTGTTTCCTGCAGCCAAGAAAGAACAAAAGCATTGCTTTAAGAGCACTAGACAAAAAACATCCATTGGACATGTTTAAAAATATGAATCTGACACATCTCCTTTCTTATAACAAGCATTGTCAGATGCCAAGTAGCCACTATCTTAAACCACAAGTAGTAATAAACTAAGTTTTAAAAAAAAGAGATGACTCTCAACCCAATGAAGACAGCAGTAGACAAATAGCAGCTGGCCCACATAATTATACATTAGCATCAACACTGCATTCATTAGATATTAATAATTGTCAGTATATTAAACATGCACCATTCACCCCATAGTATTTTTCCCATCAACCTTTTCAGCGGGAGGGTATTTTCTTAAAGCAACTAAATTCAATCAAAAGATTGCTTAGAGAAGGATGTGTAACACATGAAACTAAGAGAGCAGAACAATGAGAAACCTGAATCTAAATTTGGAAAACAAAACCACCAAGGTGAGGATTAATTTAAAACAGCTCTAAACACTCTAGTTTGCTGTAATGATGTCAAAGCAATGCCCTTAGAGCAGCCGTGAGATCAAATTACTGAAGAACAAATACAGCAATAAGACAACATTAATCTAGCTTTTGAAATGTGAATTTACAAGTTATATTGTAATACACCATTCATAGTGTAGCTTTATGATCTGGTCATGGTAAACGGAGAATTTTCACATTATTCTCAAAAGCATGTTACATAAAAACTGAAAGAAAAAGTGCTGAAATACTTACCACATCCTGAATAATTCATAAATTTGCCATCCTCATCCAGCATGTAATATACCTGAAGACCCAGAATAGACCAACAAGAAAATATAAAGGTTCCAAAAACGATTCGAAAAAGTATGTTTAAACCAAAAATAACAAAGAAGGTTTTGATCCAACGTATTACATATACTCCCACAACTTACTAATTCGGCATAGTCTTTCACATGAACTTCAATATTTTGTTTAAAAAGACTACCACAATGTCCTTGATCACTAAAATTCTCTTATCAAACAAATTTCTATTTTTATTTTCAAAGACTCTTATCATTACTACTAATTACCTAAATTTCAACTCCTACCAACTGTGATGTTATTTTGGCATGACACGAAAAAAAAAAAATAATAATTAGAGGAATGCCTGATTTATCTATTTTAGCTTCTACACCTTTATAAATCTGGATTTTCATGTTATCTCAAGGCAAAGTTATATAAATGTTACAAGAAGTTCCATCCCAAACTTAGCAAAATTTTTTTTTTTTTAAAAAAAAAAATATAACTTTCAAGGAGTAGCAATAAGAGACATAGGGAGGAGAGAGAAGGATGGAGAAAAGGCTGCACCTTGGAATGATACCTCATTGCTTTTACTTATGTGCAATTGGGGCATGCATTTTAAAATACGCCTCCTCACAGCACATCTTAGAGTTAAAGTTAGGTCATGTAGGATAGTTTGGTAAAAGTTTTAAATTTGTACTATTTAGTTAAAAATGAACAGCAAAAGGTCAATTAAAAAAAAAAATCTTAACATACATACATAAACAAATAAAAATCTCTGTGCCCTAGGTAAAACACCAAAGACAAGCATAGGATGATAGGAGTCTATATCACTCACCTTATTATCTATGCCACGAAAAGAAGTAGTGTAAGGGAGTTTATCATCACCCTCATTTGTATGATTATACACAACATCCAAGATGACCTGGGAAAAAAAATATAAATCATCCATGTTAATTTAGACAACTAGTAATAACATCTTATAAAAAACATCATCCCACCACTTCATATTTTTTTATCAAAAATAAAGAAAAATTGTGCATTTACTTCTTCAATGCATCCAATCTACATGAAATGCTCCAAAAATGTTTGTTGTTTCGAAACCCGAAAAGGTCAATGATCTACTACTTCAAATTTCCCAATAAGCCTACAATCTTTTTTTTTTTCCCTTTGTTTTTATTTTACTTCCAAATTACACCAGATTGTGTCTTTTTCTAATATATTTATGTTATAATATATATTAGAGATGAGGAGATATTAAGTAGTATTAATTTGAGCATATGAGTAAACATAGTCAAAGGCCACAAACAAAGCAAGGTGGAGACAGGGAGTGCATTATTAAATCCAAACCTATCACATTGATGTAATCTATCAGAGAAGTAAACATTATCAATTTAAAATGAAGTATATCAGTATTGACATCAGACCTCTATTCCAGCATTATGCAAGGCTTTAACCATTTCCTTGAACTCCAGAGAAGCATTAATAGGTCCTCCACCACAACTTGCATAGCGACTCATAGGGGCAAAAAAATTGATAGTTGAATAGCCCCAGGTATTAATCTTCCATTTTCCAGCACCAAAAAATTTCCAACCATTAGTGTCATTAAAAATATCATTAGCAACAACTAATAAATTAAACATGCAGATAGTACACATGAAAAGCGTTTTTCCTACAATCTCAGCTGCCAAGCAAGCAAGAACATATAAATCAGAAGAAAAAGATTTTGCAACAAACACAAAAAACAGCAATGAATGCTTCTACAATCAGGTCAACACCAAAAATGATTGTGAATTTATCCAGTATTCTTTAAAGAAGGGACATAACATCAAAATGAATGCATAAAACTTTTGTAAGGCCTACATAAAAGAGAGTTGCCAACACACCATGTGATCTCTGGGGTTGGAGCGCCTTTGGAACTCCATCTCATCGAACTCAAAGACTGGAAGCAATTCCACGGCATTGATTCCAAGCTCCAAGAGATGAGGAATCTTCATTTAAAAAAAAAAAAAGGTAAGCTCCAAGAGATGAGGAATCTTCATTTAAAAAAAAAGGTAACATCAAGCTTTTCTAAAATCTGAATGACAGGATAATCAAGTATGAAGTATGTTATACAAGATTTCTTTATGATATCTGAGATCATTACCTTCTCAATAACACCAAGATAGCTTCCCCGTATATCTGCATCAACCCCACTAGACTCATCAGCAGTATATGCACGAACATTCATTTCATATATGACAAGATCATTCTGCAACAAAAATGCAAAAATTAAATCATACATGTAAGAACAATCAATAAATTTCAGGTCTTTGTAAAAAAAAAAAAAAAAAAATAGCTTTTAAATGAACAAAAAATGTCGGAGCTAGTATAACTAAGTTTAGATCATTGAAGAGATATGTCAATCATCTATAATAATGCACAGAGTATTACAAAGTAATCTACAAAGTAATCTTAAAACTGTATTTGTGTCACATGCCGCCCATTTAAGCACTAAAAACATGCCACATCACCTATTTAGCAAGTAACATGTATTACCTAGGACAACAACAAAAAAAAGTGCTTATACAAAGGTTTGAACTTAAGACCAACAAGTATTAATTCATAAGTCTTCCTATCTTCGCTATTCATTTATTATGCTTTCTAATGTAAATTTTGTAATACAATAACTTAAACACTAAAAGGAGAAGAAGGAGGAGGGTTACGGTAGGTCAGTGACAGCCAGTGTAAAACTTTGTCACATCGCTTGACATGAGCCACAATGATTGAGAGTAGTACTAGGATGGGTGACCTCCTGGGTAGTCCTCATGTTGGTTCATGTAACCGACCCCACTAATGGGATTAAGGCGTTCAAGCAGAAGAAGAGGAGAAGAAGAAGATAACTTTTTTTTTCCTGCAAAATAGTTTCCTGGAAAATACTTAAATTTTATGGATTTGAAAAATCATGTCCTTTTCCATATGATGACATATGAATGATATGATAACTTTTTTTTCCGTGCAAAATAGTCAACAGCGGTTGACATCTTTGGATCATATGGAGTAACTTAAAAAACATCAGGCATGGTTTTCTTAATAAAAACAACCAAAAACAATATAGAACATAATTACTCAAAAAGATCCACCAATAAATAAGTCAGCCTTTTTTTTTAGGGACATCTCGAAGATAATCATCAAAACAATTCTAAAAAGTCAAAATTGCTCATCTAACTAAACACGTATACAAAGTAGCAACCCAATGCATCACCCAAGCCACAAACTAGTTATGTAACCAAATCGAGAATAAAATACATAGCCTAAGTTTCTCATGTTCTAAAAATTAGGGAACTAAGCCTTGTAACATGTCTCCGTTCAATAGTTTCCTTGAACCAACCATAGTAAGAAAATCACTCTTACCATAATTCCTAAAGGGAAGATCCTACATTCCTACCCTCAACCCTCCAAATAAAATAAATAAACAAATAAATACAAAGATGAAAATTATGCCTATACCTCTGGTATGTTTGGATGCACATCATCTTCCCAGTCAAAGGATGGCCCCTCAAAATCGTATGTCCCCAAGAATTTAGAAAGCTTATAGTTTTGATCTCCAAAAAGCCGGCGACCTTCGACATATTTTGCATAGGGATCAATCAGAACAATGCTACTGTCAAAACGATGCCCTTGTCGCCTATCTTGAGGACCGTCGATGCAGTAACCATAGAGAACACCACTCCGCGGAAGATCCTATGACATAAAAGGAATTCAGAAGGAACTAAAAATTATATTCAAAACAAAAATTAAAGAGACACAAATGCAAGTATTAAATTTATAATTCAATTAAGGTTATAAAAAGTCAAATCCTGATGTGGACACAATGATCATTATGCAAGTGCAAGATGAAGTTCAAACTAGAGAAAAAGGAATTTCACTCATCATAGGTTTGCTTTCTCATACCGCAAGTCTAATTTTTCCCTCTTAAACCACAGGTCAAAACCAATGACGTTCATCTGCAATTTCTTTCATTAACTTACATGATTGAGAATTTTGAGATTTTCATGACGAGCTTTTACGTCTGTATCAATAATAGAGAGAAGCTTGAGATGCTGACAAACTAAATATGCTTCTTGATAAGTAATAGATCAACTAAGTGAATCCTTGTTAAAAAGAGTAAAAAGCCTATATATTACATGATTAAACATGTTACAAGAGGATCTTAGTCCTTCTAACTCAGCAAATGAAACCACCTGTTAGACTAAAAAAAGCTTAACCAAACCCTGTAAATTTTCTTTATAAAGGTCCAGAGGTCCCAACAAGTCAAACTGTATCCGCTTATCCACTCAGGATCATCCCTATCACAATATTTCCATCTGTAGCAAATGCAGTAGTCAAAGAAGGATGAAAGCCTAGTCACATGGCTTGTAAAGCAATATGCTGAGGGTCTTCCCGAGTATAAATAGACATAACAAAATACACGATAAATCAATTCCACCCCCCCCCCTCCCACCCTATTGTCATCACCATGTGTTAACCATATCAAAATGTAGCATAGACCCTCTCCCCATCTCTATACAGTTGGAATAGATCCATAAGTAGGAAAAGAGTTTTCAACCATAGGCAAAGACAGAGAGTCCCAACAGAAAATTGGAGACAATTAGAGATTACCTCAATAAAAATATGCCATATATCTCCAGTCTTGTTCAAACTCCGATTCAGCCTTAATTCCACCATCTCTTCATTTCCTGTATCAAAATCCTCCCTAAGAAAAGATTATCATGTTCAGTAACCATCTCATATTCACTAGACATAAATTAAAGAGAGATCAAATTGACACAGGGGTCTTCCTACCAAAAAAAAAAAGAAACAACCAAAAATGTACAATAACACAATGCTATGTAGTACGAATATAAAAGTGGCAAGCTGAGAAAGGTTCTTTTTCCTTCACATCCTCATAAGAAGGACAAAAAAGGAAAGAAAAGCTCCCAATTACAGTATATCACAGTACCTCAACCCTTTGGTTTGCAGATTTTAACACAATCAAGGAGGACAGTCAAAAACCAAGCTATACAAGTTATGTAAGGCACACATAATCAAAATAACAATAACGATAAAAGAGATGCATAATCACCAGCCGGTGGGAGGAAGCAATAAGCAAAGAGTTACTGAGCTTGCATGTTGTGAGAAAATTGCAAAATTTATTCCATTCTCCACTTCTGAAGCTCCCAAAGGAAATGCTTGGCCTGGCAGGATTTTGAACGATTTGCTTGTATCCATCATGGTCAAAGCTTCTTCCTTTTACAGAAAAATAATAGGCATGACAACACATTAAGACATCAGTATAGATGAGCTACTTTAGATGAATTTCATGAATAAAGCAACAAAAAGATTTCTTCAACATAGAAAAAAACGGAGAACTCATTGAAAGACAGAGAATTCCATGATATAGACTGCTGATATTCTTATCACTCCATAAATATATGTGTGACGTGTTTACTATGACATGAGCCTTACTCACAAAGTCACAATAAAAGACGACTACCCTTTTGCACACTCCTTAAATAAATATATTTGTTATGATATGAACCAATCTAATTATACAGATATAGAGTTCTTGGTAGTAAGCAAGATGATTCCTCTAAGTTATCCAGCACTAGAAACTTAGCATGACTTACAGAAAGACCTATTGTGAGGGAGACCAATTGCAAGGACCAAAGGAGACAACCAAAAAAGTTGCCAAATTCTTTAACTTAGGTAAAACTACTGAAAATGGTTGCCTGCTAAAATTTAAAACTATAACTTGGTAAATGGGACAAAAACACTCTTCAGTTTATTGACAGAGTTGAGATACCCAAAAAAAAAACTTTCATGAAGGGAAAAAAGAGAGTACCCCTTCCTTAAAAATCTATAACCTTAAATGAAGCATATGTTTGATGAAATAAGATATACCTCAAGCACACACTCTTTGGTACCATGATTAGTGGCGCTCATAGAAACCTGAGTTGTGCACCTCCTTGTCTAACCTATGCCAAAAAAGTAAAACCGGACTTATAAGGTATGCTGAAGAAGGATATGAACTTGCACGTTCCTTACATGTGACAAAAAAAAAACCTACCCTTGTCATTTGCTGCTGTAGGTTACCTGATCCTGAACTCGATTGAGATCTGTTCGTAATACACAATAGTTTTTACATAGTTCATCTTTTATTCAAATCATTGTAAAATACATAAACTTAACAAAAGATACTCCAGTATTAAGTGACATTCAGCAGATGAGATTGACATATCATACAAGTTTTAACCCGACAAAAGCCAGCATCCTTGCTTTTGTATAATCAAACTCTTTACTCACAAGAAAAAAGGTAAAAATCAAACACTGGTGAAGATGTAGAAGAATAGTAGTACACATAAAGAAGCATCCCTGAATTCTCCAAAATACCAACCCCATTAAACTTTAGTTTAATCATGTTCATCCAATCATTATCCTTGACAATTTGAAAGGTTGGAAATGTAACAAGTCTAACAACTAATTTGTATACCTTCAGATCACTGTAAATTTGTTCACTGACAGCCTAATTGATGTATAAATGCGTAAGAACTTTAACTTCAACAAAAAAAAATCGGAGATGAATTCCTTTTTTAAAAACCCAGCCATCACCACCCTTTATTGCTTCCTAGCACACCTTGAAGAGAACATTAACCTCCAATTCTATGCTTTTACCACAAAGCTATTGACTTCTCCAATATTGTTAGCATTTGAATGACTAAGGCGACTACAATATTCATAGAGATTCTAGATGATCAACACCTCAAAGGCTTGTTTGGTAGGTCCATTCGTCCATAGGTGGTAATAATCGATAATAACGACAATAAATTTTTATTAGTTAACCCCAAAGCTTTCACCCCCCTCCCCCCTCCTTACATTTCCATTACCATCAATTACCACTTTAGGAGTGGTATTCAGTAATAATGAAAATCTTGGAATAAAAACCCATTTGAGGACGTAGTTGCATTACCATGGACATTAATGTGATAGAATTTCGCATTACCAACATACATTTTTTACAATATTACACTTAAAATTCAATGTCATTAGTCCTCATCACCATCATTATTACCACCTACAACAGGTCATAAGAATACTACTTAAGCAATTAAATTTCCAAATGAAATACACCCCATGTCAAAATCATCATAAACCCTAATCATCACTCTTCATCCACCTCCAATATTTCCGACTATCACATTGCAAATAATCAACACCCGAATAAGCAAATGAAGCGACATAGAAATTCCACTGAATATAAAATTAACCCAAAATAAATCTAACATCAAAAAAATACAAATAAAATCAAATCAAATTACAAAAATCATAAAATGAAATTACATAAAACATTACAATAACTAAAATTTACCCGATAAAAGCAGCAGATGGAGGAAACGATGAAGCGGATGAGAGAGAATTACGATTAAATTGTGAAACAAAGGAGAATGGAGGAAGATGAATCGAGTGCAACATTTTGTAATTGAAGCTGGGAAGATGATGAAATTGAAGATTAATGGTAGCATCTAAGCATCCATGAATTTTGGAGAAAGTAACTAGTTATGATATTACTGCTAAAATACGATAGATATTTAGTTCTTTGTTATAGGAGAATGTGGGGTTCATTACTTTATTTTGTTATTTGATTGATTAATTGCATGGCGGGTAATTAACGTTTTACGGACTTCCAGACTGAAATAGAATATGGCAAAATGTCCCGTCTTTCCCTGCTTGCCACGTGAACGGTTTACACCTCCCACCTTTTTGTTTTTTGTTCTTTCTCGTGTGTCATCATCGAAGATTCAAAAAGGTGAAATATTGTTAGATTTGTTACAATGTACGCATGTGCGGAGTAATAATTTTTAAGATATATCCGAGTGTGCAAACTATATATGTCGATGGGCGTAAAATATCTAAACTACATATAATAGAAAATTAGTGTGTAACTCGAGTTTTGCCTCGAGTGATACTTTGAATAATTTCATTTTTATATTAAACACTTAAAAAGACTTATTAATTTTTTTTTTTTACGTGGGTAAATTAGAATACAATGACAACAATAATTTATTCTACATTCTAATACATTTATGTATTTATATATAAATTTGGATTAATAGAGCATGAATTAATTCTAGTCAAGATGGTAATACAATAGTTTCCATTCAATGAGGTGTAGGGTTCAAATCTCATGTACATGCTCATATTTTGATAGTTTCTTTGATGTTAATATGTTATGGCACAGACCAGTCGCTATTTATGCGTGCATATAAATATATAATGATGTATTGCTATACTTCGTATGTATTAGTAAAGATTAATGTCATTGCGTGTTGCTTTCCTTGTATTTTATGCTTGTTGTGCATATTAAAAAGGTTGGTCTGCATCAAGCGTTAGAGATTCAAGCTTCACAGAGGTGATCTAAACAAACTCTGAAACCATTGACTGTACTCATTTTTAAGTATACTAGGGATTATCAGCTTCAGCCTAAATAAATCATCATGTCAATAGTAAAATATTGATGGCTAAATTGAAATAAAGATTACAATAAAAAAGGTTGTGAATTCTTAGTCCACAGTTCATGTTTTCTTTAATCTAAACTGACATGACAACAATAGAGTACTTAATTTTGAAATTGAACTATGCACTAATCTAACAGGATCAGTAATCTAGAACAATTCCATGGCAAATTGCAATGGTGACAAAGGCAAATGGCAAATTGCAAAGTATAATATTCATGAATTGATCACATAATCACATCTATTACAAAGGCAACAAAGCAGCTGATTAGGTTACTAATTTTAGACTTTTAGAGCGATTCTGAGCTATAAATTCTACAACCTTTAATTTTAGATTCAAAAGATAAAGTCTCAAATCAAAAATTCAATTTCAATTGAATCACTCTATATGCTTATTACATAGTATCCTCCTCGAGATTTCTTTTCTTTTACCTTATGGAACTTGCTCCAAGACAGGGACGGCACTTACATAAAACCTAGTACATCCCTGGCTACCTACAACCATGATATGTACCTAGAGCACAGCAGGCTTCAACAACAAAGCCCTGTTGCCTTCCTATACTACAAGTCTACCAGCAAAAAAGAAACTCAAATTTTAATTTAGGAAAAATAATGATTTAAAAAATCTCTATTTTAATCCTGAATACTAACATCATTAGCAACCCAGTCTTTTTTTTTTTTTGGGTAAAAAGAATCAGTTTTGTAATGCAATCGCACCTTTTACAGCTTACATCAACCACATGCAGGGAGAACAAGCCACCAGGCTTCACCTGCAAAATGAAACCATCACAACGATTAAGCATATAACTTTAGAGAAAATAATATACAGAACATAGAGGACAAATAGCTAGAAAGGGGAGAAGGTGAAGAGGAAGAGGAAGAGCAAGCAAAACAATATAGAAAGTCTCATAAAAAGTCTTGGCTTAGATGTAGAAACTCTTATCATTACACATGCAAATAATTCTTCCACAATCTGTGACTATTGAAGGACCACTCTACAAATTTAAAATAACACTTAGTCCACTTTTTGTACCCAATCAACATCAAAGGTTTTGCAATGAGAGTCATCTGATAGCAGATCCATCTGGTTATAACTTATAAGTACAAGATTCAAGTACAATATTTAAGTACTAAAAACTGAGTTTTGCAAGTAGGATATGATGTTGTGAGAATTGCTCCATCTGGTGACAATAGTAGCATATAATATTAATGTACGAAAATTTCACGACATTTCATATGGCAGAAATAAATTATGCTTAAATTTTCCCTTCAACCCAATTTCAATGAAGTGATGGAGATAGGATAAATTGTAGACAACAATGACAAAGGGTATTTCAAAAGAACTTATGGTGATTATGAGAGATTTATGGGACAAAAACAGCTATTGAATCCAAACGGAGGGAATAATAACTTCAGCGTCTAGTAGATACCTTAAGATCACGCAGACAAATAATCTATTGCCCTCCAGGTTTCAGGAGAAGAAGAAGAAATAATCAAGGCTGATTTATGATGAGGAAGCAACACCAGTCAGCAATGTGGTTTACTGAAGCTATGATCTTCTAAACAATGACAGAAGTCAAGAGCCATGAATCCTATTTAGCTGCTAGAGCAGAGGTTGCAGATGAGGCCTCTGCAATTAGAGCAATTGGTTGGCGAGCCTGGAGACAAGCACCTATCTCAAAAGGTTCCAGTTCTGCTCCATCAAAGAGGAGACTTACTCCAGGCAGGATCACATCTTTGCTATCAGCATCATCAGATTCAACTTTAGGGACGTTTGTTGAATTTGATTCTTCAATTGGCCTAGTGGCTGCCTCATAAACGGGAGACAAAGCATATGATCTACACATAAAAGTCAAACAGGACATCAGGGAACTTTGAGAGCCCAATCTGATCATATGTTGCAATGAGCACATACATGATGAACCAAAATCACAAAGCAAAACATAAAGCTCTTAGTTAAAGTTACAATGCTACCCAGGGACAACCTGCAAACCAACAGAAGAGATAAAACCAGAACATTGGTTACCTGAGAATGCTCCCATCAAAGCTAAGAACTTCTCTTCTTGAACGCTGCCTTGACGAAAGTTTTTTCCTCTGGTATTCAGTGGCTCCAGCAATGGGAGATGATGGTTCCGCAAGAGGATTCCATCTTCCACTCGCATAGGTCATAAGTTGACGAGACTTATCCTTGGGTTTCTCTTTCTGATATAAAAGCTTTGCAGCGGGACCTGTGGGACTGTACTCTGCACATACATCACGTAACCTTCTTCTTAACCCATGCATTGCTTCATGGTGCTCATCAAAGGACTCTGTCTGAAGCAACTGTGAAGAGATTACTCTTTTGCACATTTTCTTGCACAGTTTTGGACTAAATAGAGGTACACCAAACTCTACACTTAGTGGGACCCATTCATATCTCTCATCATCAGGTGATAACTGATCTGCATCTGTCTCTATGAAAAGTCTTAATAGGCGGATGTAACCAATGGTCCACAAATCAATTCTATCCACTATCTCACTTATTAGTGACTCCAACCTTGTGCTTTCATCAATGCCTAAACCCAACTCCTCCCCTACATGCACAAGTGAACCATCAGAATTTTTCAATGGCAGTGGGACATCTATTGTAACAATTTTCCCAGATTTATCAAGGTCATACTTGCTGAGAGGCTGCACAAGTACAGCAGAATGTCTAAGAAGTGAATTAAGACAATGCAGAAGAACAGTCCCTTTCACTAAGCTCCCTTCAAATTTTCCCCCCACCCCTCCAATTGTAGATCCATCCCATGACCATATAAGGGCTTTCTCACAGCCCGCCAGGGGTGCAGGAAGTAAACGTAAATATTGGCCCTTCATTAGAACAACAGACAGCGGTCCACTGCCTACCGCTGAATATAGCACTAATTTCATCCAAGGTGTCATGGATGAATGTGAGGGAGGCCCAAAGTGCACAGGGCCTGTTTGCCCAGGCAAAATAGAGGCTGGAGGCAGAGGTACCATGGATAAGACAATATCATAGTCTCGGTGGAACAATCTATCTAAAGTTGCAGGTGCAAGAGTGGCCAAACTTTCACAACGAAGAAGATCCAAACGATAACTCCTTTTTCTTCTAGGAGCATCACTTTCCAAGGCTGAAATCTCATTATCCTCCGAGATAGGATCCAACATACGCTGCTCATAGGAATCATCTATATGGTCTTCACTGACAAGCTTGGTGTCGGCAGAGCTGGCTCCAGATATTGAATATGAAGGGGAATCTCTTTCCAAACATTCTGAATCTATAATCTTATCCTGAGATTCTATATTGATGAATTTATCACCATTAAGACCACTGGCATTGTGAGTCAAGCTTGTTTCAACTGCAGTAGAGGTGTCACTGCTTTGTGAGGATACGGTGTCCACCTTATGACCAATTTCTGTGTCTCCAACACTATCAGAAACTCCTCCAGAAAGAAGACATTCTAGAACACAACGGAGGCTAGATGCATGATTTGCAAATTCCTGCAATTCACCTTCAAATTTGGTTCCTTCTAATGTGCTCAAATCCTTGCAAAGATCTGCAATACTTGCGTGACCCAGCTTACCTGCTTCATAGAGCGTTACAGCATGCGACTTCAAACCTGAAACAAGATACACAAATGGAAAACATGAATGAGTCAGAAATAATGTGCACAGTGCTCCCTTCATTTTCTTTTCTGCCTTCCCCTATTGGCCTAAATACCCTGTGATAAGTTATCCTATCAGTAATTTTCCAAGCGTTTTTGTGCCAAAAGAAAAATAGACATACGAAAAGAAAAATAAGTAAATGTTACAGTTTAAAATCACAAAAATTGTTTTCTAGAAGTCCTATTCCAATGGAAAGAATGTGTAAACTCAAGACTGTCCTACCAAACAGCTCTAAAGTACCAAATACAGAGCTCTATAGGATAGAATTGAAACTGTTCGAAAACTGGAAAGGGAGGCAGAATGACAAAATGAACAGAGACATTTAGACTCAATGTAGAATGGCAAAGTATGGGGAAAAGCAAAACCTGGTGAAACAGACCCCATCATGAGGTATGAAGTAATATTAGCATCAACAATAAATGCAACACGAGCCTGATTTGAAGCTGCTCTGCTTTCTGACCCTGAATAGTCCTGTTGAACACT